GGATTGTTCATTACCTCAAGCATATTATTTGTACAAAAAGCACAGTTAGCCAATAGCAATATTTTTAGCTTAGATTTCCATTCATTTTATGAACGCGTCCTTGACTACCATTCAAAATACCAACTTGATTTTTCTCTATGAATGCTGAAAAAATTTTAAATATCTCATAAATAAATCTATTATTGTCAAAATAATAAGTTAAATATTAGAAAATATGAATATTGACCTTCGAATGATTGTTCAACATAACTTCAGGTTGTTGTAGGTGTTGCATTAGAAAATGCCCTATCAAATAGAAGTTCACTCGCGGTAAATTTGATCTCTGTTTAATTACCGTTTAAGCTCTTAACATTTTCTAATAAAACTCAGTTATTAAACCTGTGATTATAGCATTTGGAGAATAATCTGGCTCTATATTTATGTCTAAAACCTTAATCGTAATTATTCCCATCTCTTTGTGACGCTAATCAATAATCTAATCAATTACAAAGTGGATAGCTGACCACTATGTGTGCGTGTGTGTGTGTGTGTGTGTGTGTGTGTGTGCGTGTGTGTGTGCGTGTGTGTGTGAGTACTCTTCGTGCAAGGCTCACTTGCTTGGCTGTTCCAAAGCGTTTGAGTTTCCATTGATCAGTTTTGGTAGTTTAGTACACTGCATTTTGTGAAAAAGACACCAACTATTAACTTTTGGATTGGTTAGTAGGGGTCTGGATGGGAAAGAAGCCTAAACAAGCAGATTTATTAGTAGCTATCTTCGACGAGGAGCCGGGAGGAATGGAATAGTCTGCAAATGTCTCAAGATTCCACCAAGTTCGTAGGCACTGCGAATCGTCACAACAAGGGTGGATTGGTGGTTCAGTGGTCAGAGTACGCGTTAGTTACGTTAGAGGTTATGGATTTGACTCTTCGTCGGTGGCCAAAATGATATCCACTGAAGTCCATAACTGAAGGCAATGAAAGAAGTTAGGCTTTCTAAATCCGAGTAATTAAGTATACAGGATAGTTTGTATCTCGCGGGTAGCTACGAATAGTTCAAACTGGGGGAAACACTACATGAGCTTTTCGGCTGTCTTCATTCTGTAATACCTTTGAAATTGCCCCAATCCGTTCTTCGATTTGCTGTCATTGTTCAATCCAACACATCAGCTTTACTCTGTGATACATTGATGATTGATCTTATTTAGGGCAAGAGGAGCCCAGAATTCTACCACCCACTTTGCTCTTAGTCGCATGGTCGGGTTTCCCCTCAACCGGTGAACGAGCGGCATTTAGACTCCTCTACACACCGGCCGTCTGCCCTATTTTACGTTCCAATTTCTCGAAGCCAAAGGACCCCGAAGGTTATTCTACGGGAAAGCATTAGTATTTATTAAGTTCACGTCTTAATCATGCCCTTTTAACTCAAATTTCAAATCCACTACCCGATTACAACAACAAAGTCAAGTTAATCAAAATACAATACTCAAATTCCCACTTTATATAATGAGTAATAATTCAACCAAATTCGCAAAAAATAACTTAATCAATCAACATTTCCTTTAAAACGCAAGGAAGAAAATAACATTGTCTGAAAGGCATTCACATAAAAGCTGGTTAAAACGCTGTTTGAGTATGAAATACACGCGCAAATGAGAGCAAGAATGAAGGGCGGGAACTTGCCAGAAAGATGAAGGAAGTAGGGAGATAAAAGAATTATGGAAATTACTAGTATCCTCAAGCTGTCGATCGAGGTATGATGGGGAAGGGATGAGCCTCGGTGTTGAATACCCACCGATCCAAGGGGAGAACAGAGTCATCGCAGAAGATTAGATAGAGGTATTTTAGGGTTTCGGCTATGAAATAGCTCTGCTGCACATCGTCTAATTCTGGGTTTGAGTCGTTTACATTACGCAAGCCGGAGTAACCACTATTCACCCGACAATGCTTCTCTAGTGCCTGAAAGTGCAAATAATGAAATAGGATCAAAAAACTAAATTAACCTTTTCATATAGGCTATCTGTCAATGCAGCAACAATAAACACTAATGCCTACAAAGATTCCGGATACTATGTTAACTGAATAAATAGGCGCTTATTCTCAGCTGTTATGATATAGTCCTAAGAAAGAACAAGAAGATTTAATCTACCGGATGCAGAATTTTTACTATCTCAGTTCATAACAATATATGCTGCTTTTAAAGCACATTAAGGATTATATTATGCCTTTAACATCTAATATAAAACTTTGAGAAACTAAACTTAGTTAATAGACTTTGCTAACAGTTGGGCATGAGGAGCAGTAGTCCTATTGAGAAAGAACAAAACATTCTTTCCTTCTGGAAATAGTTAAAATACGGTTGGCACTACTTTAGTTCAAATTTCCCTGAGGATGGGATTTACACTTTTAGAGACGGCAATTCATTGTTAACCATTTTAGTCATACCATGAGGTCAAATCAATGCCCGCCTTGGTGTATTGAAAAACACTAAATTTGACAAACATGAACGCTGACTACTAACCTAGTTCATGAAAACAACGTACCTGTACGACATCCCAGGCGTATTTCCGATATATCGGATCATGTGTAAACCTCCACATATAGAAATAGGATTCTACAGTCTCCGGTCGAAGATAATAGAACTTAGCATTGCCAGATACTGCAACCGCATCGATCGAGTCCGTAAAGACGAAGCTCTCAGGACCTAATCCCGTCTCAGTCTGGGCATAAGATTTACGACATGTTTGAGTCAAATCCTTTCCCCGCTTAAACCACTTATCACTTTCGTCTTTCGTCTCAGCACCCAGAGCGAACATTCCACCTGCGAAACAGGCCAAATGGGACATACTTTGGCCTGGGGATCCATGTTGCGAGTCAGTCAGGTAGACACTTCCTTTAGCACTAGTTCGGATCATTCGAAGACGATCAAATGTGGTGAGGGATTTGTTGTAGAGTTCTATAGCTTGAACGTCTTGATGATCAGTTCGAATCCACTCTTTTAAGAGGTATTCAAAGAAGGAATCGCCCTCTCCGGATACAGTCACGTGTCTATTGCAGAAACCTGGTTGGTCGCGCTGTATGTGGGTTCGGAACTCGCCGTTGGCGGTTTTTGAAGCTTCTACAAGGTAATTACGGATTCGATGTACCTAAAACAAAAGAGAAATTGTAAGGGGTGTACCTTTACAAACCTTTTATATGCAAAACTACTCTATGATGAAAATAGGCCCCAAATAGTGGAAACTCCCGTTGATAGAGCAATATGAATGGGCTATAGCGGGAGACAAAGGAAAATTAAAGCAATGGATAGTAACACAATTGTACAATAGGTAAGCATTTGATTCAGAAGGATTTGGCATTAGAATAAACCGGTAATCATCAACAGGTCTTCAGTTGATCTTTTGAAGAAACCAGCATTTACAAAAGGACTGAAGGTTACACATTTTCAGAACACCCAAGTCACTGTATATGTGGAGAAACTTTAGACCAATAAAGGAAGAGACCTTTTAACTAGGCGTTCACTAAATTTGTTTTTATAGGAAATGAACAAAAGTTATTTTTTGAGTGACGTCTATGGGACAGAGAGTGAGATACTAAACGGCAACGTGAGGCTGTAAGCACTAAAGACTGTACATAAATACAAGCGCATAAAATTTAGTCAAAAATAAAAAAACAAAGTAATATGGTTTATTTAGCAGCATAAACAGTAGATATGCGAAAAAAAAAACTCGAATAAAACTATACCTGCACAGTGATGCACTCATAAGATGAGCCAAATCCCAACATATATGGATAGCATCTAATTATTGAAATTTACAAGATGCGAAGCGAAATCAATTATTTCTGTAAAGAGAATTCGTGTCCCAGATCTGATTATTGCCCAAAAAAACTCGCACCTGGAAGTGCAGTAGTTACACTTGTATATTAGCAATTGAACGACAGCTATATTTAAGAAATGGGGTGTGGGATAAACTTACCTCCACGTGGTGCACCCTGGACAACGTATATTCATACGGTAAAAAGTCTATTAACTGGCAGTTGACTTCTGACTTCAAACTACCATGACCCCACTGTATGTCATATTCGACCCCTTCCACAATCCTCATCTTACCTTTTCTCTGCCTCTGTGTCCACCTGTCACTTTTGCATCTGTTAATCATTATTCTGTTCTCCCTCTCGACTTTTGTCACTTTGATGTTCCTCCTCCTCTCTGTGAAGCCCGAAGTCAGCTAAAGGGCTAATGATAACTATCATAAAGCCTGCCATTTGAAATAAAAGAAATGTACTTCTTACTAGGAAAACGTTCGCTAGCCACTTAACCACATCGCAATTATAGCTTTTATCACTTTCCAAGGAAGCTTCCA